CTATATTCATACGTTTAAAATGATAAAAAGGTAAAATTCTTTTCATTTCTGAATGCATCCAATTCTGAGTTGCTGGTGATTCTCTTCCAAATAATGGATCAAGTGAAAGTTTTCGTGCTTCATAAATAATATTACATGGATATTGTCTTAAACGTTTAATTTTTTCTACTTCACGTTTACGATCACTATCAATAAGACGTGGATTAAAACGAACACGTTGAAACATAGGCATAAATATATGTTCAAATACATCAAGATTTTCATTTCGTTGAAATTCACGGTGAATATGATATAAAAAATTACATGGATATACTGTATAAAGTGTGTAAAATAATGCATGTGCTGATTGATTTACAATCCATAATTGAACATTTTCAAGAGAATCTACATAAGATGAAGAAGAACAATGAAATAAATGAAAATTTTCATTTCGATAATTAATTACGAGAATTTGTTTGAATTGACAATTGTCGAAGTGATGCTAAATGTTTAAAAAGATATTTGCATGTTGCTTTAAATATATTAAGAATTGATTCTGTTTGTTGAACAATTTCACCAGGTAAAGTTGCAGTTAAAGCAGAAAAAAAATAACAAGCTTGTGCTAAGACATTTGGATCATCTTTACACTAAATATTAAACAAATTTTTCATATAAAGTATGATTCGAAAGTTTTGATTCGTTTCATAAGAAGAGTTCTTCAACTGATGAGACTATGCAGACCTAAATGAGCTATGAACACTTTAAAAAGAGTTCGTGTCCTTATCTTATTGCTTCAGAGCTACTGCAGTTTTACGGTATTTTTTAAATGAACATCGAATTCATCCTCAGTAACACCAGAAAAACTTATTTTCGAATTTCGGCTTAAAATTTTGTATAGAGACAGGTCTCAACAAGAATAGATTGTTGTGAATATTTCAGATCTTGTTACTGTTCCTATCCGAAGATACTACTATGGTAATAGTGTATCTTTTACATTGTTTATATAAACCAGCAAATTTAATATTCTTATTTAAGGATAGAAGCAAATCAAAAGAAAGGATACAAACTCTTTTCACAGTATTTATAGCTCATTTGGGTCTACATAGTGCCCATAGTCTCAATTCAATAGCGACTTATCAGTTGGAAAACTTCCCTTGTTATTAAATTGATATTATGTATGACAGACTTATATGTAGTTAATTGATCGAAATATAATTGTGTAGAGAAATATTAGAGCTATCATCTTAAAAAAGAAATACTTCGAAATGGATAAATATAATGCAATGCTAGGGTTATTTTATTACTCTGAAATAAATATTTTCATCTTACATTTATTTTTAAAAATACATAAAGTTTTTTAATAAGAGTTGCATGTTTTTTATTTGGAAACGTTTTTATAGAATGTATCATTTTAGTCGAATGTTATTCATCATATAGTGATTTTATAAAACTATTCATATTGTTAAAACTTTTCACAGAGATCGATTTGTAAATAGTGATATTTGACGTAGTCAACTTTCAACAATGTTTAATTACATATCCTCTATAATATACCCAGAGCAAAAAAATTAATAAGACATACTGGTCAGCAATATTGATTTCATTCTCTGATTTTTCACATTGTTAGTTTTATTTTATGAAGTTTACTGTTTGGAGTTTGTTCTCTGATTTGTCAGTAGGTATTTGAATTTATTTTGGCGACAGTTTTTACAGTTTTATCAAAAAGAAATCCTTAATACTCATTTCAAAGTCAAATAGATGATATATAATCAATAGAAAATTTGTAGGGTATCATTCGATAAGATTTAAGTAAATATGAATTTAATTCATTATATGATATCAAATAAATTAACTACATAAAGGTTTATCATAGATTTACTGAGAGGTCAAAATTTTTGAATTACTCGTTAGATTTTATCATATTTCTCTCATACCTTTGTAATTGCATTAATACAATTTGGAAGTATTAAACTATCTTTAATAAGTGTTGATAATCCAGATACTTGACTATGAATAATTAGACAGAAGATACGAAAAACTTTCATAATATGAGCGACTTTTTCTTGTTCTTCATGTGAATGTAATTCACTACTAATATTACTACTACTGGAATGACGATTACATTGTTTTAAACCTTGTGTATTTAAATGTTCGATCAAAACCTTTAAAAAAAGAAAAGTTCATTGTACTATTTATAATAGTATTAATTTACTAACTTTAGATGGTTCTTTTCCTGCTTCATTAAATTGTTTAATTAATAGAAGAGCATTTGGTGACTCTGTTTGAAAATAATATTCAATTAATTGATTGAGTAATGGCTGATTTGTTTGTTGATATTCACGTAATAGAGATTCAAGTAAATTTTGTCTTGTTGAAACAGAATCTCGTGTATTATCTAAGATCGCAAACATCTGAAAAAAAAAGAAAAGATAAAAAAAAACCTAATACAGATGTGCAAATTCCCAACAACAATATTTGTACTGATATAAAAGGGTTTAACAAGTGTAGAAATATTACACAATATCATGTTTCTAGCACTGATTATTCTCTGCATATCTATACCTTTCTCATCGACTGGTAAAATTGATCATTGGTCAGTCGGTAGTATTATAATCACTGATCCAACAACACAATTTCGACTTGATATTTATTCTCCAACAACCCCTGGCTCTTATCCAGTTCTTATTTTTTTACCTGGTCTAGCAGGTATAGTACCTGCACCATTTTATCACAAATTAGTATCAACAATTGCTGAGCAAAATGTTATTCTTATTGGAATTTCAAAAATTGAAAATATAAAACCAGAAAAAGTCGCTGTTCATATAGCTGAATTTCTCGAATGGGTTGTGAAACCAGATGATGGTGCTACTCGGCTTTTTGCTGAACATAGAGAAGTCAAAGGTGTTATACCAAATATGGAATATCTTGGTTTTATATCACACTCATCAGCAGCTCATCCACTCGGTCAATATCTCAATACAACATGTGGTCCAGTAAAATTAATTATTATGATGAATCCTGTTGATGGTATTGATCCATTCGGTTTTGTACAAGATTTCATCACACGTATGACAAAGAATAAGCAATCAATATTATCCTATTTTTTCTTATTTTATATTAAGATCCTCCAACTCCTCTTCCATTTCGAACACCAACACTAATAATTAGTAATGGTCTAGGTAAAAACTAAAATTTAATTTTCTTAGATTTTATAGATTTCATATGATCTTAGATAATGTTCCTGCTCATAAGGAAGTTCCACCATGTGCACCAAATAATATCAGCAATGATCGATGGTATCGTTCATTATATGGACCGACATTTCTTGTTAATTTAACTGATTATGGTCATGCCGATAATCTCGATGAACCAATTCACGAGACTAGTAAACTTATGTGTGCATGGTGCAAGGGTACTATCTGTAGTTTTTCTCAATATAAAACTGAAGAAGCAACATTAATCACATCATTTGTTTATGCAATATTCAATCGAGATATACAACAATTACGGATTATTGAAAATCCACAAGCTTTTCTTGAAAGTCGTGTTTCAAACAAATATGATCTGCATGGTTATGATTATAAAACTGGAGGACCAGGTGGTTTTTGTACTCATGATTAAATAATGATTAAAGAAAAAAAAAATCTGTAAATTTGTCCTATCTTATTTGTCTATTGTATATGTTCCATAGAGGCCATGTTTTTTGTGCCATTCTTCAAGGCTTCCTTCTGGATAACGAGGATACGTATGAATATTTTTGCCTTTTGGAATTTCTACATGATTAAGTTTAAAATCGGTCATTATATGATAATATTCATCAGGTTTTGGTAATGGTGTATCAATAGATGATGCAAATGGATAAATCCATTGTGAATATTCATCATTATAAGCCCAAAGATATGAACCACATTCAGAACAAAAATGTCGTTTATGAGGACTTAATTTTGTACTTGACGAATCTTTTTTACCACTTTCAGTATCACATAGTTTAACTTGATAAATTTTAACAAATTCTTGACCTTGTTTTATTTTAAATGTTGAATATTCACCCATAATATTGCAATTAAATACACCAGTTGTTTTTGTATCAGCAAGACAATGACAAATCATATACGGATAGGGCGTATCTAAAACCAAACAAAAGCTTCAATAATTTATAATAATAAATATACATACATGAATCGACTGAAAATTTTACACGTTGACAATGACAACTGCCTTCAAGCGTAACAGGTTTCGGCATTGATGAACTCATTATACAAAATCTTATAATTCTATTCTAAAAAATAAATATAAGCTTGATTTATTCTTTATTTAATTTGAGGAAGTAAAAAAAACAAGAACATTCAATATTCATTACAATAAAAATAGAACGGATAAAATAATTTTCAAAAAAACAATTAATGAAGAAAATGGAATGAAAAAAAAACAACACATGCAATGACCAATTGAAGGACAGATCAAATAGAATAAAAGCGACTAGGACTCCAGACAGACCAAAAGTTCATGGAATTAAATTCTGTTTTAACTCAACAACCGTCCACACTAAATCACCAATAAGAGTATAGGACAAGTCTCTTTCATGAATGCAAAGTACATAGCAGAAAATGTAAGTGCATTGATAGGCGTCACTATCGTATGTGTTGCATCTAATAAGTTGTTATTTTTCTGTGTAAAATACGACTAAAATTGTATGAAATAAACGATATTCATTATTGACGTCAGGAAATATCATGCAGGCATTGTTGAAATAAACATTCCTCCTTGACAAAAATGTATGTATATTAAGCGTCACACACATTTTTTTTGTATTACCGGAACGGTCTAGTATCTTATTGGTGCGTTAACGTTAAATCGTCTTGAAAAGATGACTTAATTCTGTTTTATTGTTTCTAATCATTTGATTGGTTAATTCAGCTTTAAAACATTCGGTCTGTCTGGGGCCTAGTTTGTATTTGTAATAATAATGATTGTTCATGTGCAATGGAAGTCAAAGAAAAAGAAAGAACAAATTAGAAATTTTACTTAGAAGATTTTCTCACACTTGATGCTCTCTAGCAAAATAAAATATATAAATTTATATTTTTTAATATCTAATTATTTCTTACGGTTGTCTGCGATCTATTTATTGATGCTGAATCCATACGAGAAATTAAATTCATTGATATATTATCTTGTTGAATAGGATGAAGTCTTGAAACAATTGATGATGAACTATCATAATATAACGATGCATCATCTGGCCTTCGTTCATTTATTGATAAATGAACTGTGCGTGATGATGTTGAATTTTGTTTCTCAATCATTTCAACAGGAGTCTGTTTACCAAATACCATCATTACTCGTTGTCTTTGATGTTGTTGTTGTTCAGCAATACGTTTTAGATTCTATGGATTCAAAAAAAAAACTTTTTTTTTGTCCTATTTTATTTTTTTTACTTGTGTTTGCGTGGGCGGTTGAATAGATCGCATATCAAGAACAGTTCGACTTTGTAGAGCATTTGTTGTTGTTGTTTTTGGTCGAGCTGATGATCGAGATGTACCAAGTGATCGTTCATTTACTTTAAAATAAAATATATAAATATTTTCTTTTTTTTATTTTCATCAATAAAAACTTACAATGAGCAGAAGCTCGATTCGTAACAGATGCATTTGCTGATTGTCGTCCATCTTCATTTGGATTTAGTATGTTTGTTCGACTCATATCAAAATCAGTGTCATTATCAGTTGCTAATTGATCAGTTGTATCCTATTTTAATAAGAATATGATTATTTTTTTTTCTAAAATATATAAAATTAAATTCATACATCCTCAACACGTGAAGATGATGCTAACATTGGATAAGCTGTTGATGAACCCTTTGTATTTGTTCCTGATTCACGTTCCAGACCTGGAAACAAAATTAACAAAAAAAAAAACTTGTTTCATTCTATCGTTTGTTATTGTTTACAAATTCAAGAATCTCTCAGATTATATCTTATTCTATAAAACGGTTTTAATTTTTATAAATTAAAAGCAAACAGTTATAAATATAGAAACAATAGTAGTAGATATCAGTTGATAAACAAACTACAAAAATATCTATGCACACCTCCTGTATGTGATATTGGAAATAATGCTGAAATATATGAAAATTTAAAAAATGAAAATTTTAATTTCTAAATACTTACAATTAAGTCTTCGAAGTAAATAAGTAGCTGTAAAAGCATCTCGAGATTGATTCGTTGATATAGGTTCATTAACTTCAGTTGTTTGGCATGACTGACCAGAAGAATAAGCAACTGGAACGTCTAAAAAATGATGATTGTTAACATATGACTGATAAGAAAAGAAAAACTTTTTTTGCAACAATTATTCTTTTCTTTTTGTTTTGTTTTCATTATTGATAAACTTCAATCGTTATAATGTTGAAATAAATAATCTTCATATCAAAATAAAGAGGCGCCACATATATTATTATTTATTTAATTCTCCTCTGAAATCTAACGGTCTCATTCTTAATTGTTATTTTCATTAATATTTTTACAAAGTATTATAAATATAATATTACAAAATAGGATTCGAAATACCTTCTTCAGGTAAATTCTCTGATGATGATGGTTGCCTTGGGAAAAAAGTGGATGTTATTAGAATATTATCATCTAAGGTTTGTAGTTGTTGCTGTATCTGTTGTTTTTCACGATCATCAGATGGCATATCACGAGATAAATGTTTATAATATTCAGCCTAGAAGAAGAAGAAGAAGAAGTAGCAAAAAAAGCCACACACAGATTGAGTAAGAAGAGAAGAAAAATAAAACAAACTCAGAATAATATTTATAACCCACCGTCTTCATGAATAGGACAGAACATCTGTGATTAATAATGATGAAGAAAATCGAAATGAAAAAATTTCAAATCAATAGATACTTGAGATCTTCGTGCTTTTTCTTCAGCTGTTGTTAAACGACTGTTTGTTATTTGTGTTGTCGATGTTGACCATCGATTTGAACGATTATTCATACCATTTGAACCTTCATATCGAACTGGATCATTATTAGTATCTCTTAATCGACGTGCCGATGTTAATGATATTGGTTTAGTCACATCATTAGTCTATGTATTATTAAAAAAAAACAATGAAATATTAATTAATTAATTAAAACAAAATAAATAATTTAAAAGCACTAAAGAAGAAGAAAAAACGAACAGCAAAGTATTAAATAAAATCAGTATGAATCAGAGATGTTGATGATTGGTTTTTGTTTTTGAACCGACCCGTTCGAGAACAAACTCGACCTATCTCACACATTGACTGATGTTTTTCTTCAACCCACGGGTTAATATAAATTCGTTAATTCTTTTTATTCATGCATTCATTTTTTAACTATATGTGAAAGTAATAAGGAGACTACCCGAACCGATACCCACCGTTTGAGCTTGTATTAGATTCACAATAATATCTCGGTAAAACTAGAAATATCCTCATGGGGTTCATGTTCATGGGCCTCTAGAACCAAATAACGACCATTTTATTGAATCTTCAACTCAGCTGAAAGTATTTCGATTTGAAATTTCGTTCATAAACAGGTAGACTAACTAGTAAATTATTGTAAAAGTTTCAGCCGAAAATAATGTTCCCTTGTGGAGATGTTGAATTTTCAAATAAACGACTATTTTTTGAAAAATTCAATTTCTCGACAAGAATACATTATTTTCGGCTGCAATTTTCAGGATATTCTACTAGTCATTCAATCTGTTTATAGACGATTTTTCAGATCGAAAACTCAGTGAAACGATCATAAATCGACTCCCGAGACCCTAGAGCATGAGCCCTTGTAAAATTTTTCTAGTCATACCGAGACATCCTTGCAGATCTAATATGAACTCAAATGGCAAGTATCAGTTCGGGTAGTTTCTTTGTGAGACATTTATAATTAGAATATTATTCTTTATTTATGAACATATGAATAAATACTGCAAAATTTCAAGGAAACTTCAAGACAAAATAATTGTAAGGTAGAAGTAGTAGTATATATGAATATATACAATATTAATATAGCAGATATGACTTCGACTAGAATCATAATGACGGTATATGCGCAAAAAAACTTGAAAAATAACTATAGATTACACATCTTTTATTCCAATTTTTTTTACTTTGAAGAAACTAATAACATATCATTCAATAAACTTGGTTTTGTACGGATGTGGGTATGAGTTTATGACGTCTAAGAGAAGACGTCCACCCAACACCCAAACCGCATTTATATGTGTGCATGCTTCAAAACAAGTAGATGAATGACTAGAACGAAGATTTAGTGAGAGAAAATGATAGAAAGAATCTAGGTGATGAAGAACGAAAGAAATAGTAAAAGCAACCAGATCAGTGATCGAACGAAGAAATGGCATGAGTAGTGAACGTAATTCTATGCAGAACGAAAGAATAAAGGATGTAAAGCAAAAATCATAAATGGTTTGAATCCACGAATACATGTAAAAATATCTAGTCTGTGAGTGCTGTCAAATGTCGAATCTGCGCGCGAACGGGTTCAATCAAAATGGGTAAGTCCATCAATATCTCTGATATGAATATAGCAAGAGATAATTCTAAGCAGCAATTGTAGAAAATATCTATGCATACCACAAATAGAATATATATATATATTATGCATATGTTTAATATGAGAAAAACCCGAAGAGAAGAACAAAAAAGAAAAAAAAGAGGATCTAATATTCATCTTTTTTCTGAGTAGATATGCCATGCAATTAGAAAGTACCAATCGCATTTCAATATGGGACACTTGAGCCTTTAAACAGGTTAAACATTTGCAAACGTGATAAGCCACATGATTACGACGTTTTCTTCTTTGTTGCATACATTCAAGTTCCGTCTAGAATATTTATTAATTTTTCTTGTCTTTAGTTGGATAAGATAATTTTCATTTCTCAATTATTTTGTTTTGTTTAGTTAAATTTTCATTGTCAATAAAAATCATAAAGAAGACTACTGTACTAAACTTACCTCCGATAAATTCCCATTATTATACGTTGTTAGAACTGAAGTTTCTAACAAATCCTTGAAAAATGAAAAAAGACAAAAAGGATGCACAACATAACTTTTGCTAAGATAAAGTTAGTTTTCTTAAAGATGATGTGAAAAATAAATAAAAAAGGAAAATCATGATTGTGAAAAAATAGAAAGTTTACAGAAGAACACAAAAACTTACAATAGTTGAAAATTGAGAATGACGAATTTTTGTTAAGGGTAATCCAACAGTTTTATTCTAATCATAAATACAACATCGAATAAGACTGATAAGCACAACATTTGATTTTACTTTTTCAAGATTTTCTTTATCTATTTCATCTTTTCTTTTAGTTTCTCTAATTGGTTTTGTTGGTGCTGGTTTCTTTCTTGTTTTTTTTAATTGAGCCTTATAAAACAAGAAAGAAAAAAAAAGAAATATTTACCATATGAAAATTATAATATAAATGAAACTACTTTAGCTGCTACAATTGCTTCTAAATGTTTTGGTAAACCGTCATCTGTTGATGAATCTGATCCTGCGTCATCACTAAAATTGTCGAACAAACAAATAAATAAAAATTCCTATTATATTTTTTCTTTCTATACCTTGAATCATCATCCGATGAAAATTGATCAAGATCAATATCATCTAATGATCCTGGATTAATGCCACGTGATAAAAGTTTAATTTGTATAGAACGTCGTATATTATCTTCGAGTTCCAGTAATATTCGATCTCGCTAAAATAGAAAATTTTTTTGAAATCAAATTTTTCTATAATCTATTATAATAGAAAATGACTGACGAAACAATATCATAAAAAAAGGAGTACAAGAAGAATATAAAAAAAGCAAGAGAATATACATATATAAATATATATAGTAGAATTACTAATAGTACACGACGAATAGAATTTATATTTATTTCTTTTCGTTTTATTGTTATAACTAATTATGATTTTGATTGGTATATATTTGGAGCATTTTTCACCTTAGGAGAAATATTTAATTTATTTGTTGTTCGAACTTTTAAATATTTATCATCAATAGATATTGTTAGTTCTTGTTTTATGTAGATTTATGTTTTACTTTTATGTGTTGAATCATCATATGATATATTAAAATCTTTTAGATCTTCATGTATTATTAGATTACCATTTAACAATTTATCATATAAATTTTGACGATATTATTCCTATTTATTATAAGTTAATTCGAAAGAATAAATGTATAAGTTTTGTTTTTAAAAAAAAGAATTTTATTTTATAGAATTAATACTATAAAACTTACTTTTGTATGATCTGGATCACAATAATCAAGTAAAGAATCAAGAAAATGATAACCAATAGATTCAAAATCTTTTATAGTAAAATGATGACCGGCTCGATCCTGTTGAGTTGATCCGCAAAATGTTGCCTAATAATTTTACATATTTATATAAAACCGTGACAAAAAAAACCTGAATCAAACCTCTAATGTATAACTATTCATAATACCCATTGACCACATGACAACTCGTCCAGTACCTTCTTTATGCTTTTGAACTTTATATTTGCATGAATATAATGAAAACTAAAAAATACACACATATTTATATATATGTCTACTATAAAATCTTATGAGAAAAATAAAATACAAACTTTCGTAGGGTCATTTTTTGATAACATTGCTGGAAATATTCTTTCTTTAAATCTTTCATTAGGTAAGTGTTTATTTTCACAACCATAAACAAAAACATTTTGTTTTCTTGAATGACCATGAAAATCACAATAAAGAACAAGTTCTGTTTCATTCATAAATCTAAAATTTCCAAAATTATGAATGAATGAAAAAATATATATATTTTTTTTTAACCTTTTGATCATTTCTCTTGTATGCCATATTGATGGATAAGCATCTTTAAGTATCGTTTTATAATTTCGATTTAAATCTCGACCTGCTAATGAACAACGATAATTTCCAACAATAACACCATCAGGATTAAGCATTGGAACTATTTTAAAAATGAAATTATCTCGCAGTAACTAACAGAAAAAACAAACAGATAATAAATTTTTTTTTTTCTTTTAATAGAAATTTTTTATACTTTTGCATCAGCTGAATCACCAAGTAAAAAATCTAATAAACCTTTCATCATCCATGATCCATTTGTTTCACCTGGATGAACACGTGCTGTTACAACAACACCTTTTTTGACTTGATTTTCAGGTGATGTACTTGTATTATTTACTTGTACAGTTGCTGGATTTGTTATTGTAAGCAAATAAATAAAATTTCCAGCTAATGTTCGACAAAGAACTTTTTGTTTACAATATTGACTTTTAAAACGATCATTTTGAATTTCATTAAGATAATCCTAAGAAATATATTAAGTTTACAGCAACAAAAAAAAAACAAATATTTAATTAATATTTTACTTGTAAATCAGAATATGTATATGGATAACAATGAGCAAAATAATATGTATCATTATTATTTGGGAATTTACATGTCCAAGTAAGAGAATACATATTACATGAGGAATTGTCAGGTGCACTAAATAATAAATGATGAAGGTATTAAAATACAACAAATTATTCATTACGGTAGATTATTTTTATAGTAAACAATTTCTTCACCCCATCGTTGCCAACCAATACCTTTAGTTTCTGCATCATAAACACTGTACATCAAAGGTCTCATTCCACAACTATAAAGACTTGTAGGCTAAAAAAAGTTATTTTCTTAATACACATATGAAAAAAATAAATACAAATAATTATACTTTGAAAAAATTAACAATTGTAAAACGATATCGTTTATCAACTCGAATGTTTTGCATACGAAAATAAAACCATTGTGTATTACGTTTCGTATAAAGATCATATCGAAGATAAAGTTCATATTCAAATTCACCTCTATTAAAAGAAAAAAAAAAAACTACATCTATTCTTTGAAAGAAATTTTTATCTTTACACTTGAACAGCTTTCATTAAATTTCCACTTTCAAAACGTGATTCAAATAAAACAGTTGTATCTTCATTATTTCGAAGTAAAGTAGCTGCTTGTCGACAACCTTCTCTATTACCACCAATCCGAGATCGAATAAACTATTTTTTTGTAAAAATAATTTTAAAATCATATTAAATACATAACTTACATAACCACATGATTCGGGATTATAATTAAAAACACTACGACCAATATTTTCACCACCACTACGTATAGATGGTCCATAATTAGTTGCTAAAATTTATTAAAATTTTTAAATATATTTGATGAATTTAAAGTTGTAACAAACTTGGTTTATAAAAAACTTCAGGTTGCATCGGTGAAATATTAATATGTTTAATGCGTGGTTCATTTAATACTTCGACTTCCATAGGCCATCGAGGTTCAAATGAATAATCATCATTTGCACCACCTCGACAATTTAAACCATATGGTATACGAGCTTGTCGAATAGGCTAATCAAATCAACACAAAGAATATATTAAATAAACATTTTTTTTTTAAACTTACTAGTTTTGCATCCAGGACGCTTGATTTACTTTTATATTCTAAATTATATTTTATAGATAAATATTCATTTTCTATGTATAACAAAAATTCTTTCTAATGATATCATGCAACTATTCACAAGCTTCTAGTTTACCAGTTGAAAAAGTTATATTAAGTTGATCAATAGACAAATTATGTCCTATACGACTATACACTGATAAAATATAAATATCATGCAATATAGAGAAAATACTCAAATTTATGATAAACAAAAGTGTAAAAACCCACCAGAAGAATTTTCATGTATATAATTTGAATTACAATTTACTGTTAAAAGAAGAAAAAAGGAAATTGAACTTTTTATTTATCTTTCTTATTAAACAAATGTTTCAAACAATAATTTAAAATAAATTCAAATAAATAACATACTTTCTGGTTCTTCGTCACTACTACTTGATTCAGGATCACTTGATGATGAAATAAGTTGAGATTTTGACGGGAAAAATCCATATTTTTTTATAACTTCTCCACGACCTTTATCATATAAAAGACTAATATTTAAAAATGTTTCAACATTCACATAAAACTAACCCGTAAAATAACCATAATGTTGAAGATGTTTTCGCATAAAACTATCATATGGACTCTTCAAAACCGCAGGATAATTTAAAATTTATTTTAAAAAAAATTATAAAATAGCATACCGATAACAATGAATAATTGTATTCGCCTATCTCCATGATTTCGATCTATTGATCTAAGATAAAGTCAAGTGTCTTTTTAATATATTGTCAACAGCATCATCAAATCGAACACTGAAACGAAAATAGAAAAGAAAGTTCTCGTTCATGAATATAAACATACAACTTTAAAAAGACTCAATCAGCAATGTTCGCTTTTGTTAAAAGATGACTTTTATTAAATAAAGAACATTACTGTTTTTTTGTTAACAGAAAACAAAAAAAGACTGATGTGTCGACCAGGAACTTTTCTCTCCTTTTCTTTTCTTTTTTCTTCTTCTTTCATCACATTCTTATATTTGTTTTATTGTCAATATTTTCTTTCTTCAAAAACATAACCATTTTGATACAATTGACAGTTTCAATGACAATCTATTTTCGATGTAAAACCTTGTTTTTTTAAAAAGCAGAGAGAAACGTGATTGATAGTAAACGAACAATAAAAAATAATTCACTTCAAGGTCAAATTTGTGTTTTTTTTTATATTATATAATAGAACTTTGGGCTAGAATATGATACTCTTTCCAATTGTTCTTTTTTATGTTTCATTTTTTCCTATAGCAACGATCGGGCCAATCAATTGAATCTATGATTATGTTTTATATTAAAATTAGCGACATCCTTCATTTGTTTCTATTGTCAGTTCAGAATTACAAAAATAAGTTTTATGTAGAATTTGAAATTAATTAAAAGAAAACATCAGAATACAAGTCACATATTGGTATGAATTGATTCACGTAACGAGAAAAAATGAAAATGCATTCGACAAATCAATTTCGAGTAGATTGTTTTTGAAAAAGAAAAAAAGAAAAAAAAAAACTTCGATATTATATCATCAAATTGATATCTTCAAAATCTTAGATCGACTGTATTTATGATTACATAAGATAGAATGAATAAACAAATCCGTAATGATACAAATATAATCGATCGAATAAAATGAGTGTTAAAATATTTTTTTTCGGTAGGAGAATGTTTGTCGTGATAAATGAACAGATGAAGTCGTAGCTCATATTGCAATTACTTGATCTAATCACAAGGAATATAAATTCCACTATGTTAAGTAACGTAAAAAAAAACGTATGCAAAATTTCAATACAAATAATAATTGAATATTAAAATTATTTTGAATAGAAATGTGAATGACTATGAATAATATCAAGGAGAACTAGCAATTAACTTGATGGTAAACAATCATTAGTAAAACATGAATGAAATCAATCGTGCATCACCTATCAGTAATCCAAATAATAAAATGAAGAAATATTAACACTTTGTTTCAATTATATGTATTGACTCTAATGCGCATTTGTATAATCTAATTATGAATCATTTTTTTTTTTTATTTTTTCAATGTTTAATCAATTAATAAATGAATATAGTGCATATGGTCCTACTCATTTTCAGCTTTTATTTTAAATATTTAATGTTCTTTGTCATTCAGATTTCATTATTGAAAAATTCAACAATGGTTAAAATGAATTCAAATTATTATTAGCCTATATTGAAGAAAGTTTATAATTAATTTTCTTTTAATCATGTAAATAGAAGCTTTATAATATAAAGAACTTTAACTCAAATTTTATTACAAATGAACTAATTTTGTCAAGTAAAAATTCTCGAAAAATATCAATTTAATAATAAATAAATGAATTTTTTTTTCTTTTAATTCAAATAAATTTATGATGAAACTAATTACGAGATTTTTTTAAAAATAGGTATTCGATAAGAAGAATAGTCACCGTTTCGTTTGATAAACAAAACCGAAATAGACTGTTTTCCACATGAATGCACACGACGTGGCTTTTTGATATGTTGTTGCTTACCCGAAAAACAGCGAACAACCCTCAAATTAATCGCTATATACAAACACATTGTCGACAGGAATAAAAGAAAAAAAATACTCTTTTAGTTAATTGAAACATGTCAACAAGTGAAGAAGCAAAAGGTCCAGCAAAATCGTCAATTATAGATTATGTCGAAAATTTTATTGACAAACGTAATAATGAATTACGTGCAACAACAGTTAATGAGAGTGATGTTCCATTAGCACATGGTATCGATCGAGATTCAATTGTTTTTAAAACGGATGCAGATGGTTTTCAGCGTAAAAATATTGTAAGCTTTCTTTGAGATCAATTGATCAATTATTCGATTATTTTAATTTAATTTATTATTTCTTAACTATTTTCTAGGATAAAGATCCATCAGAATTAACTGACGTTGATGCTGATGACTTCAATCTTGATTCAGATCCAATTATTGAAACACGCGAAGCTGATGAACAAGTCTATAAACAACAAGTCTATTTACGTCAATATCAACCACCAACACCTGATCCTATTGATATTCAAATTCAAGAAATAATTGTTAAACCAAAAATACAACGTCCACCAATTCATGTATATGTTGGACCAACTCAAGATAGAGATGCACAACGTACTCCATCACCCATTCTTATCAAAAGTGCTCCACCACAATTACCACCTTCTTCAGGCGAACCAATTGTCTATAATAAATATGTTCCACTTGATTATAAACCTCCACGTCAACAAGTATAAAATAGTATAATCATAAAAATAATTCGGTTATGTTTTTTTTCTCGTCTACTAGATCATTATTCATCGTTATCCTGAAATGCCACCGAAACCTCGTAAGTTCTGATGATCAGTATTTTTTATTAATAATTCTTTTTTTTTTTATTTTCATATTGAAAGGACCTATTGTTGTTGAACAATGGCTTCCAAATAAACCTGCACCAAAACGTGTTACCTATCGTCACGTCAATCGTGATGAACTTCTTCAAAGTGAAGCTCGACAACAACATAATCGTTTTATTGAATATACAAAACCACATACAACAGTTGAGCTTGAAATTGTTCGTTTACCAATAATTAAATTAAAACCAGAAGAATATCATGGTCAATCAAATGAACTTGCACGAGTTGATAATATTCGTTCACTAGCAAACGATCCAAATATACTTCAATGGCGAATTTAAACTCTAATAAATTCAACTAGAACGACACATCGACTTTTTTTCTTTTTCTTTCTTCTCTCTTCGTATATTCATTTATAATAATAAAATAAAAAGTCTCATAAATGATCATTAGATCTTTATCATATTATCAGTATTGCTATTAAGTCGTACTTGATTTGTCATCATAAATTATTGATCACAAAAAATAAAAAGAATGCGACGAATTGATTATATATGTATATATATGAACGTGTCTGTAAATAGTGATCAAATACTTTTCAAGTGACTTGAATTACAGCTACAAATCAACACAATGTGTGTCACGATTAATCGAGCACAACAATTTTGAACTGTGATCGATTAGAAAATGTTTAAACTATGAAGAATAGCGGCGCGTCAATCGATAGAGACATGTTGTAGACAGTCTGATAAATATCCTAAAGCATTTCTATTCTTATCTACCTTCAATTTATGTACACAATACATTGTTAAATGTTTCAAATAGCGGTAAATATACATTTCTCTTTTAGAATAGATATAATAATGTATCGAACAATTTTTAAAAAAGTATATCTAATCGTATTTGTCCTTGAATATCAAAGATTCTTATCGAACATATAATCGTCAATCATACAAGTGTGCCATGTCGAAGGTGAACAGAGACCGGATACATTTTGCTTGATGAACACACAAATAAATGAATGCACACAGATATATATATACATCTGTTATCAATATCATCTTTCTCTCTCTTCTTTTCATTGGATAAACTGTTTACTATATTTATATATGAAAGAAAAACCATTCAATTGATATAAATCGAGATCAATCATATATATTTTGATGCAATGAAACAACTTTGTTCTGTACTATTTACACTCGATTTGATTCTCATATATATGATTAGCCAAAATCGAAAACAATCTATAATTTTCATTGTTGAATTGTTCCATTCTTTATTTTTAGTGACAATGATAATTTGATTTAGTTTTTGTCGCCTGAGAATTTCCATTCAACTCTTTGTAGTTGATAGCGATAAAAAAACAAAATAAAATGTTTAATCGTATTCATACGATCACACCTAAATTGACTTTTTGATTCATTAGCAGACCAAAAATAATTTTCAATGGACTTGGCTTTTTTTTTCTTTTGTGTTTCTATCATTTTTAAAGAAGAGAAGAGAATAAAAAAGGACGTGCAATTTGAATTTTATGTGAAGGATAAGTGGTAAAAGAAACTGAACGTGTTTTATCGACTAATCTGGATGTTTGCATATGCACTCACAAAATATCGATACTACACTAACATCATCTCTAATTTTTTTTTCTTCTCTTCTCTTGTCGTTCTTGGTGGTAGGCGGGTGTATACTTATATATCATATCAATAGTATCATTCTGTTGTTCATTCAGAGAATAATAAGAAAGAAAAAGAAATTTTGCTTTTTATTATTATCATTTGTGTCATTTATCAATCAGGTAAGAAAAAAAACAATATTTAAAAGAAAAGTTAATTTTATGCAAAGAAAAGATCGTTTTCATTTGTGTCTTTTTCATTTGCTCTTTTTTTTCCTCCCTCTTATATATATATATATATTAATTTAATCTCTTTTATTGAGAATAAGTTTGTCGTCATTGACCTCTTTTTTTTTTATGCCGATGGAAAACAAAATGATGATCTTATAAGACAATACTTCACCTTGAGAGTTAGCATTTATTTATATATCATTATCTTTATTTCACAACACTTCTCTCGTATTCCTATTTCAAAAGATGAATATTCTTCTATTATCATCATCATCTTCCCCACTGATGTGCAATATGAGCCTTTCGAAGGTCATCATCCTTAGAGTGAAGATATATATATATACATATAATGTATATAAATACATGTATGTATTTATATTTAACT